AGGGGTGGGGGAGGGGGTGGGGGGGAGATCACGATGCCGGCTCAACATCGTGATGTCTGTCAGCCATCTGCGATGGAAGATGGCATTGTCTATCGTCCCAACCCTAGTGTTCACTACTGTGTGTGTGTGTGCACTTGGATGGGTTAAATGCAGAGCACATATTCCGAGTATGGGCCACACGTCACTTCACTTTCACTTTTTATATGGAGAAAAATCCTGGATTGTTTTCCTCAAAAACCTTACTTTCTTTACGACTGAAGAAATAAAGAAATGAACATCTTGGATGACATGGGGGTGAGTAAATTATCAGGAAATTTTTATTCTGAAAGTGAACTAATCCTTTAAGTACTCTGTCTTGGTTTTCAGGAATTAGACAGGCCGGGGTCTGTAAAGGGGGTGTGTTGGTGGTAGTGACAGGTTTGTCTATGTCATGTGCATGTCTCTCAGCAAGTCAAAAACCATTTCAAACGCAACCTACATTTTACTTTCATTGCAAGGGGTCCAAGATTCATACATCCACTCAGCTCTGACAGAGACATGTCACTGACCACACACAGAGCCGAGCACCCACTCATTAGGAAAACATTCACTGCAATCTAGTGGAACACTGTGTTTCATTTCAAACACACAATACAGCTTCTCATTTTGCTATTATTTAACCTGCTGGTAAAACTGACGGCAGATATTGTAAATAGCATTTGTGTGTTAAAAGCATGTTGATTATCTCTTAATAACAGTATTATATTAAAACAGTGCAGCAAAGCTATTTAAACCTCACAGACTGTGAGAGCGACCCTCCCAACACCCTGCCAAAACACCCTTCATGCAAACCGTACATCAAAACTTAAATCACATTAAGTCCTCCACAAAACTGAATGATAGCTCTACCTGACACAAACATAACCATCAACTATTTCATATAACAGTATAGACCTTATTCAGAGTAGATGTTTAATTTTCATGAATGACAATGAGGCTGTGATTAGCAGTCGCACAGGCCGATCAAAGGTTTGTACTGCTTTGTACTTGTGTGTCAATGAAAGACAGCACAACTACAGAACTGACAGTAAATCTATACCTAACAGTTTCATATAGTGAAAAATATGGTATCTACCTGACACAAATATAGATGACTAAAACCAAATGAGCTTTTTAAAACATCTGTTTAAAGTTTGACTCAAGCCTCTCACGATTACACGATAAACCTTGTCAAGGACAAGGAAATGGTTTAAAGAACAAATATAACCAGAATTGAACTATAACAACCAATAAAACAACTGGGGAAAAAAGATTTACTGCCTTTCATCTTTAGAAGCCAAAGGTCCAAACTTTTTCTGAGATTTAAAAAAGGCATACTCATGAGAAGAGAGTGAACTAATACTCATCTTTTGGAGTGGCTTGATTTGTAATGTCATTATTTATTGTGTAATATAAACCTAATTATGTATTTTTGTAAAGTGACACTGGGAGTGGACACACATTTTTTGAAGTGTCATGCTATAATGTTAGGTTTGCCGTCCCATCCCATTTTCACTATGGCAACCACAGCTTCCGCCAAGCATTACTCACCAACTAAACTAAAAGCTAAATAAATAAAATGACAATAAGATAAAAAAAAAAAAAAAAAAATTCTGAAACCTCTCTGAAAGAGATTTCAAACGCCCTTGATGCCCTTACCTTCAATGGCAATGACATGCTCTCGGATCTGATTCTGCAGCAGTGGATCCTCCACCCGCTCCAGCAGCTCGTATATTGAGTAGATGTTCGGATGGACGGACTCGAACCTCTGAATCTCAGCTCTGATCGCGGCTGAGTTCGCCAGGTGTTGCTGATAATTCATGTTTGCAATATGATCTCTTCAAATGGAACCCGATATGCAATTATCTAAAGAGTGTTTGCATGTGATTTCGGGATACTGATATGCTGCAAACACGTAAACACATGAGGTCTTGTAGTCACCTCCAACGATTTTGTTCAAAACTAAAAACTACACATGTTCCCAAAGTTACACTGGGTATATAGGATGCAATCACAAAAACGTTAAAGATTAAGCATTAAACCACTTAATGCGAGACGAACTAACATGTAGCAGCGGCTTTGATATCAGTGCATGTGATAAATTTGAGTAACGTTATATGTGTAATACAACAGAAGTCCAGACGCTGGAGGGAGATCTGCAGCTGTCCGGATCTGAAATCCCAGGATACGGTCATATCCCCATAAATACAGCATAAAAACACAGAAGCTCCCCTAAATCACCAATGCATCGTCATTACGGCTATAACAGGAAAGAGAAGGCCACCTCAGGTCTACAGTCCGAGGCAAGAAGGGTCCACATGGTCGCCTCCGGCTGTGTGCTTCATACACACTGCCCAGTTTCAGCGCCAAAAGGGGTGAGAGAAAAATAAGTAATTCAAAATCAAACTCGGCGAGAAACTACAGTTCGCGCAAACGAGCTGGACGCGGTGTGTCTGCTGTGTTCCAAGCACAGTCAACTCGCTCTCTGCTGTTGTTCACTTCGGCTCATGCTGACATTTCAACCACTGAACTACTTTCTGCGGTCTCGATGCAAAACCACAAAACCATTGATGTATGTCAACCTCAACGAGATACTATCGCCGGGGAGCTTTTCGGATATCTCTCGTTTTATCCGCAAAGATGGGTGCATTCCCTGTCCTCCCGCACTGAGGTCCGTCCCGTCTGTATCCTCTCAAACATCATTGCGCCTGCTCCTTCCTTTGGACGTTTCCTACTGGAAAAACGTCGGAGCTTAGGAGCCGTCGTCCAGGTCGTAGCTGCGCTAGTTCTGCGCAGTCTGTTGTTATTAAAACGCATACAGGTCGCCACACACTGGATGGGGGCGCTAAAAGGCGCAGTTATCTTACTTTGATGTTTACTATGATTAGTGGGCCCTAAACGATTGGAAATAATTGCTGGCACAGGTCTGTGACACACTCTCAGATATGACATCAGAGTCTTATGATAACATGGGCGTGAGCTAACCCATGTATCCAATAAAGGTTAAACATGCAGGTTTTACTGGTGAACTGACAGGGTAAGACGCGGCGGGAAAGATGCAACCATGTGCAATGTGCATTTCATTTTATTGTAACACATTTAGCATATAGGCTACATATTGACATATTCACACCGCCAATGCGTTATTAAGAGAAATGAATGAATATATAAACAATACTAAATATATGATTTAGTAGGCTATTTTATATTAATGTCACTTCATATATATAAATATAATACTAAATCAACTATTCTACTTAAAATTGTGTTTTCAAAATTTAGTTAATAATTATTTCATATCCGATGACTATAACTAAACAAGCACCAGTCGTGGGAATGATGTGATATGAAGAAAATGGTGTTATGTTTTTCCACAGTGTCCACACAACTACACCATTAGCCGACTTGACTCAGACTTAAATAAACAATGGCCAAAGTGGATCTTTCATACACCTAAAGGCCTGTGTTAGTCTGAACTGTAGTATTAAAAGTACTCACCATAGTCTCCATTTTCTGTCCATTGCACCACACATCCATAGTGTCTTTCTCTAGTGAAATAGAAAAATAAAAATAACAAAAACTAGTTTGCTAATAGTTGTGTTAATTATCTTCTTTTTTTTTCTGCTGACCCCGGACTCTAATTTGAAATCCCCTAAACTAGTCATTCTCTTCTTACAGTGTGGTTTGACAGAGATTAACCCAAGAAGATTAAGGCCTTTCAGAAAAACTGAAACAACATTTTTTTTATGTCATAAATCAAGAGAGATGTTTTTCACAGTGTCACTTACCTAGAACTATCCTGTAATCAGCACCACCCAGTTTCAGCACCCATGTTTTGGAAATTTTTGATCGGTTGTCCAAAAATGTTTGGAGACTTTTTCCATTGATTTCCAGTGTGTATTCATAGGAAAACCCAGTGATTGCCTCAATACTTATGGTTGCTTTTGTATCTGTGCTCCCAACAGGGAACATTTCTTTGCCCACCAGTTTGAACATCCAATCCCTCCTCAACACCTCCTTGAAAAGACAAAATTATTATTTTACATTATCTCATTCATCTCTATATAGTGTTAGGTATTATCTTATACGTGTATGTATATATATATATATATATATATATATATATATATATATATATTGTATATATTTTTTTCCCCGACATGTTGCTGTTATATCTTTCACTAATCTGTTGCATTTGAGTAAATACAGCTGGATAAAACAAAAACTGTGTCTGTCCTTATTTCAGGCTGCAAAGCAAAAAAATGTGATTATTTTCTATACTGTATACACACACATACATACATACGATATAACGATTACATTATAAACATTACCATTATAAAATAATATAAGACAATATCTAATATAACATAATGGTAAATTAAACGAATCAGTTTATAACCTCTCACCTTCCCATTAATGTAAATGACCCGTTTCCCTGTTGTAGATCCATGTTCAAACTCAATTCGGTAAACCCCATCGCTTAGCCAAAAGACAGTAACTAGTAATATATAATGTATTACATTTTGGAAGTAACTTGCCCAACACTGAATATAACATAATGGTAAATTAAACGAATCAGTTTATAACCTCTCACCTTCCCATTAATGTAAATGACCCGTTTCCCTGTTGTAGATCCATGTTCAAACTCAATTCGGTAAACCCCATCGCTTAGCGACACGTCCCACGTTCCCACAATGTCTCTGGACATACTGTGCTAAGAGCCACCCAAACGCTCTATACTAATTTTAATTCTATGTAATGTTTTAACTTCCGCTTGATCACAATAGCAGTCCTCATCATGCGCAACTGCTGATTAAATCTCTGTATATTATTGAGGAGGCTGCCACCCTTTGCTCGCTCAGCAACGAGTGCATTAGTGTAAGAGGCTTAACTTATCAAGGCAGCAGAGAGTGTTTGAGGAGGGTTGTGTGCGAAGACAGTTATTTTCACTGCAATTAAATTTAAATAGACATCAGGTGTAGGAGTAAAAATCATAAAAACTATTTTCAGTCGTTAAGCCTGGATGTTTTTGATCCTCTCTGGTCACTACCAATAGATGGCAGTCCTCTCTCTCTCCCTTATAAAAATATTCTATTTTCTAGATCTTGAAAGATGGCATAATACAAATAATATTAATATAATTAATAATAATAATAATAATAATAATAATAATACATTAATAAATAAAAATACATTTAATACATTAAAACCAGAACCTGATTACACGCAAAAATACATAATATAGCCTATGTGTGATCAATAAACGTTGATATTTAATATCTTAAACTTACATACAAATTCCTTCACAATCACAGCCCTAATAATACAATGTTTTGCAAAATGATGTTATGCAAAGCTTATGTAAGAACATATTAGCAAGGCACGCTATTAACGTATCAAAAGCGAGTGGGCGTGGTCAAACTGTCTGTGAGCCCCGCTTGTTCAGAACTTTCTTCCAGATGTTATGGCGCTTTTCCACTGCATGGTACGGCTCGGTACGGTTCACTTTTGGGGGGTTTTCCACTGGGTACAGTACCTGGTACTTTTTTTAGTATACCACCTCGGTTGGGGTTCCAAGTGAACCGCACCGTTACCAAAACGTGACGTGTAAACTCTGCTGATCGCCCACTCTAAAGCGGTACTGAACTGCAGTGGAAACGCAAACCGTGCCGAGCCGAGTCGTACCACGCAGTGGAAAAGCGCCATTAGTGTGTGGAGCTCAGAGAGCATTGAGAAGCGTTGGAGACTGTGATCGTGAGCTGAGAGTCGTTTCACACCGTTGTTTAAAGGATACAACAAACTGACTAAGTGTTTTGGAGTTTTCCCTGTCTTTCCTGGAAAGTACTCGACGTAACTGAATATTATAATGAGTGAATGCATAAGGAATAACGCTCAATCATTTGACTTTTACTTTACTTTTTTTACTTTTAGTCATTTAGCAGACGCTTTTATCCAAAGCGACTTACAAATAAGAAAAAGTAATTAAAACTAAAAGCTAAAACTATAAATACTAATATATATATATATATATATATAT